CAAGAGCGGCGACATGAATGTGACTGACCAACACGCTGCTTGAAGCCGACGATGAGCATACCGACATGTGGCGGTAAGAAGAGACTGCGCAATCAGCACATGAGCGTGTTTGCCGGCGGTCCAAAGTACGACTCTGACAAGCGCGACTCTTCTACTGTTGGCCGGATGGGTGGGATGGCCCCCTTCCACTGCGGCGTCAGATAGACTCGATGGCCCGCCTCCACCCCCAAATGCTCCACGGTTCCCTGCTCGCAGCAGCGTCACGAGCGTCGACCAGGCGGACAGCACGCGTCGCTCTATATGCAATCGCTGACAAGCATGCAAATGAACCGGAACTCGGATCTATTCTCTAGTATCGGATCTATGCACACTGGCGCGACGTCGGATGCCTTCTTCACGCCTGACTCTAGCATGGCCCAGATCAACATCATGGACGGTCCGTCAATTGCGCGCATCCTCTCAAACACCAGCCAGTACAGCACACTGAGCTCAGACGAGGTCTTCGAGCCTGCTGCTTCCCACCTTGACTTGCCTGAGAGCGGCAGTCATGTAAACCCACCGCTAGCGCCGCCCAATGCCAGGCTGCCCACCATTGATGAGCGTCCATATTCAGCGCCTTCGAAGCGGGACGACACAAGGACATTATCCATGGCGAGATCGTCACAACGTCGCTGCGTAGGGCCGACCTTACGAAAGGCCGTTGCCACGACGTGTCAGCCATTGATGTGAGCGGCACTCTGGCTCCACAGCGCCTAGCGAGCCAGTCGGGTCAGTCGGGGATCTGATCTCTGCCATGCCCGTACCATCCGCTGTAACGAGCCCAACCACTACACAGGGCCGAGCTCTTTTGTGAGAGCTGTCATTGCCAGCCCAATCCATGTCCCCTTCTCATGCCATTTGTTTCAAATACAAAACCGATCTTTAGCCGCTTGCTGCGCGAGGTTTGGCATACTTTTATTTGGATTTTGACATCTCTCCGGTTACGCCTTCTCCTCACCGCAGTCATCGATAACAATGCGCTCCGAGGTGCGGCCGTTCGCCGAGCCCTTGGCCTCGATCGCCTTGACAACATCCATGCCCTCGGTGACCTTGCCGAACACATGGTGGCCGTCAAGCCACGCGGTGGTCTCGGTAGTGATAAAGAACTGCGAGCCGTTGGTGTTGGGGCCGGCGTTGGCCATCGACAGAATGCCGGGGCCGGTGTGCTGCAGCTTGAAGTTCTCGTCGGCGAACTTGTTGCCGTAGATCGACTTGCCGCCGGTGCCGTTGTGGTTGGTGAAGTCACCGCCCTGCAGCATGAACTGGGGGATGACGCGGTGGAACGTGCAGCCCTTGTAGCCAAAGCCCTTCTCGCCCGTGCACAGCGCGCGGAAGTTCTCGGCCGTCTTGGGCACGACGTCCGAACGCAGCTCCATGACGATCTTGCCAAGCGGCTTGGAGGCAGCCGAGACCTTGAAGAACAGCGCGGAAGAGTCATTTTCTATGAAATCTGAGTGAATTGAGGTACGCTGGGAAGTGAAAGATAAAGAAAGGCAGAGGACTACGTTTTCGTAAGCCGATATTTTGCTGCTGAGGCTGATCTCCAAAATCCACGCATTTTTTCGCATCAATTTGGTTCTTCCCCCACTCCAGCAAGGCTAGAAATCGCGGTGTCCACGTGACAAGACGCCAGCTGATGAGATCAGGGATGCGAGCCGACGGTGCAGACCCGGCTTGCACGGTGCTAGGGATATGCGGTGAAATCAAGTGTCGCCAACAAAAGCGCGAACGACATCAGGATACCACTGCTATCTCCAATATCAGTGCATCTACATGGTGGCCTACATTGCATATAAACTAGGCGCGATATCTGAGGACATGCCAGCACACTGCAGCTATCCAATTGTCTGGGAGACTATAGTATCCCAGGCAAGTATGTAAACTGCCATGTACGCAAGATGCACAATGTCGATGGCAACAAGCTATATGATAGCCATAACTGGGGCGTTTTTGTGGAAATGAAGTGATCCTTGTGCTTTGCCGTGGCCCAACAAAAAATTACTGCTCTACCTGCACATCCTGACAAAAAATAACAACACATACTACCTACGACCATGGCGGCAGTCAGCAGTGGAATCGACTACACACAGTTCCGGCGGAGCTTCAAACGACGATCCAGAAATACGAGGACTTTATCAACAACAAGCTGCAGCCAGATCTGCAGCAGGAATTGGAGGTGCGCGACACCGTCTACAACCGCATATCCGAATATCTGAAACTGAAGACGCACATCCAGACAATACGAGACAACGGGCTCGAGGAGCTCGATACCAAGGTTGACCTGGGATCCAACTTTTATGCGAAGGCGCATGTGTAAGTGTCTCCATAGACCAATGCCCCACAAATAGCTGTGGGTGACAGCAGGCACCCGTTGGCAGCGGTAGCTAACGAACAGGAAGACACATGGTGTTGCATATTCTCGCAGTATAGGCCTGACACATCACACATCTATGTCAATGTGGGATTTGGATTCCACTTGCAAATGACACTGGCTGAGGCAGACTCATTCATCGACGAGAAGGTCAAGCATATGGAAAAGTAAGTGCTGAACACTGGTAATGGAGTAGTGGCACTGACTGGACCGCCATTGCAATAGAAACACAAAAAATATTGCTAACGCAAAGTTCTGGCCAACATAGGCTTGCCGACAAGCATACAGAGGAAGCCAACTCGATCCGGGCAAAGATTAAGATGGTCTACGGGGCACTGATGCAAGCGATGAACCTCACTGACCAGTAGGGCGGGAATGGGCATCTGCCAGCCGTGCTTTATATGACATAGTGCTCCAAAATAAATGCATGCGACACTCCCGAGTTTATTCGGCGTCACTAGCCAGCAGCTTCGTTTGCAGACCACCTACAGCGGAATTGGTGGGACCGGCTGCCTCGCCCTTGACAGAGTCGGCCACAGCAGCGCGTACACCGCGCGGGCGAGCCAGCTCCTCGCCTTCAGTATCATCGCCATGCCCCATTTTGATCGATCGACCTCCTCACCATACGAAACAAACAGCTCCTCGCCCTTCTTGATATTGCGTGTCGTTAGGCATATGATCTGGTTGACTTTGACACCCTCGAGGAAGGCAATATTGAACTTTTGGCCCTCGCGGTCCTCGTTCATGAAGTGGAATGGACAGTACAGGCGGCCGCCAGGGTCCGCATATGGCATCCGTTGGTGTCGGTGGCATCGAGCACCGTTTTCCGGTACATGATTGAGTAGTGCGATGCCATGCCAACAGTGTCCTTCAGCGAATCGTACTCGTCTTCGGTCATAGGGACGCCGAAATAGAAGCCGAGGGGGATCCCGCCAGGCAGGTCACGCACAGCGAATAGACCGTTGCCGGCGTGCGGTATCGTCGAGGGCTTAACCTCGACGATATCTTGCCAGGTGCGCGGAATGTCGCCAGAGATAGTGGCTGGTGCTCGAGTGCCGGCGCCCCAGGGCTAGGCTGCTGGTCCTCAGCTATCACGCTTGGCGTGTCAGCATCAGTGGCTATTGGCGGGTCTACCCCGGTGCTGCCATTTGAGATAGCCCGCGTTGCATTCCAGTAGATACAATGCAATTCGAGCCGCCACCCGCTGCCTCACTCTGCTTGCTTGGATCTGCAGCACTCGCGTCACAGCTTTCAACCGGCACAGGCAGGTCCGGACCAAAGCATACGGGCCAGTCCTTCTCGACCAGCACCTGCATCCACGCCTCGTATTCCTTCAATGCGCTCTCAAAGTCGCCAGGCAGGTATGCCAGCTTGAAATGGTAGCTGCGCGCGCCCTCTGGCCGGAACTGCACAAAATGCTTGTCCCAGTTGTTGGTCAACACAGCACTGGCGCTGTTCAGCGGCGTCCTGCCGGTAAACGCCCTTGGTAGGCCGCTCCTTGCTAATCTTCTCGTCCAGCTCTACTGCGCGCTTCACCAGGTCCCCACGGCTAGCTGTGTACCGGTGACTGCCGCAGAGCGAGGAATATCAGATACACCTGGTTATACAGCGCGGACGCACGGCTGTTTTTTCTTCTGCTTCTGCTCCTCTGCACCAGCTGTTCCCTGCGTCTGTTTGGAGCCCGTGGAGCGCGCCGGCGGCGCTTGCGGCGCTGGGGACCGTCAGTGTCTATAATGAACTCGTCCAGCATTCGAGCACTTCATAGCCAGTCAATGCGTTGTCAAGATAGCGCGGGCAGTGGTGGCGGGTGGATCGCCGCTTCCCAGTTTCTGTTTGACGCGCTGGAGCTGCTGGCAGTCTCGGAGAGGGTAGGCGGTGTGGGTACATTAGAAATGTAGACGCATTAGGCGAGGGCATGGTGTCAGGGTCGTGCATTGGAGAAAAAGTGAAAACAAAAAGCTGTACAGATGAAAAAGCAGTGGGGAAAGGAAAAAAAATTATCGATTTTGATGGTCCTTCCGATTCGCTTTGGCTGCTTGTGATCTTGATCTTACCACAGCACATTGAGCCGTCATGCGATGATAACCTGTTACCATGCAATACGCCTTACAATCGCCAGTGTGTCGATGACAAGACACAAAGCGTGCTGACACAATTTTGGTCGGCTATAATTTTTTTGCTCAATTCTACAGTTGAAAACCGCTATGGAAGCAGCAATGCCACTAGCTCAGCATCCGAGAGATGGATGTTTGTTCGGTCCAGTGTCTGATGACTGCGTGGGAGCGGGGCATGCGCTGGGCATCTCGACGGCTGGTTGTGGTGGTAGCGCTGTTGCTGCTGAGGGTACGCTCACGTACTCGCTGCGGGTACTGCGGGTGCTGTGTATACTGGGCTGGCTGCTGGTGGCGCGACGGAGGCGGGGGTGGGTGTGGGTAGTGCTGCTGTGGCTGCAGTGGATACCCTGCTGGTACCTTGCTGGTATCCCTGCTGGTAGTAATTCTGCGGGCGGTGGTGAGCCTGGTGGTGCTGAGGCGGCGGCGGTTGGGCGTAGTGCGGCGGCGGCTGGTGTTGCTGCCAGGATCCCTGCTGGGGGTGGTGTCCAAGATGACCGCATGCATGGGTGGCGGGGGCGGAACGGAGTACCCTTGTTGGTAGGAACTGGGGCCGGATGGAGGCGGCGGTGGTTGCTGGGTGATGCTGCTGGTGATGCTGTTGGTGATGCTGCTGGCGATGCTGCGGGTGGTGGCATTATCGAAGTCGGCGAATGGCCGCTGTGCGAGTAGTGGGACATGGGTGGCCCCGAAACAGCACCAGCATTTGTGCTAGCTGCCATGGATTGCGGGGGTGATAGTATTGACCATGCCGGAAGTGGTGGCTGCTCTTCAGATGCGCGCTTTTTATTCAGCTTTGCATAATCTATATGCATGAGGGGCGAAATGTGCTGAGGCAGAATCAGTAATAGTACGTGTCCGAATCGGGATATCAACTCCTCGCGATAAGGGAGTGCGTAGGGGGTTTCAGGGACAGCAAAAGCCGAGGAGGGCCGAGCATCCCTGCCAGAAAGCAGCTTTGAGGGACACGCCCAATATAAACAGGTGTGTGTGGAAGCCCGCTATGCAGCCTTGCATGTGAATCCCTCAAAGAGAAAATGTTCGCGGCTGAAATAGCGAAAATGAGCCAAGCGCGAACAAATACAAGTGTGGGCAAAAGGGGGACTTTGCGAGAAGAGTCGAGAAAGAATGATGCAGATCCCCAGTGTAGTGCATATTGCATGCATCATGTATAGGCGGCATTCCGGGGAAACCTCGCTTGAATTCAAAGCCCGTCCGAAAATAAGTATACTTACGGAGTCCGCATGCATTGCACAAAGTCCTAGCACCATCGGGTCCGCGTCTCCACTCGGCGCGTCTCCGAGATGCCACATGAGCGGCAGGAGTTTGGCTGGGCGGCATCGGTGCGCTTCTACAATGGATGTTATGAACGGGTGAATGCGTGTGTGCGTGTGTGAATGGAACAAATCGTCAGTAGAATGAACAATGGAGGCTGGGGCGTCCACTGGCAACAGGGCGCCAAATGTAGCGGAGAAAAGAAAAGAGCATAGGCGGATGCTCTTCGAGATACACGGCTTGGTTCATCCAAGTCGGCAGGAGTAATAAGCAGAATATTAAGAGGCGCGCAAATGTACTGGAGGATATGGAGCATAGGGTGAATGGAGGCATTCACATGTGTGCTATGTTTTCATACTGACACAGGCGATGGAGAAAAATATACAACCCAATTCCCTGGCCAGCACTTGCAAATGACATATCAGCCCAAAAGGAAAACAATAACAATAACAACAAACAAGCGCGAGGCGCGCTACTTACAGAGCGCTTGCGGGGTCTTTTGACCGTGCAGGTGAAAGCACAGTGCGACGTTTGCCGAATATACTCCATGGTATCATCATCAACACTCGTTGACATGCGCTCGCGGCGAATTGTCATGAAGACCATCAAAACCTCGTACGCCTTGCGCGCCATGTCGATAACCAGATCGTCAGACGGCTGGGCGTTGAACTTGTTGCGCTCGGGCCGTACTGGGCTAGCAAACTGCGCCAGCACGTTGCACTTGTCCGTGACGTCCTGAAGCTCGCCCTTGTATTTGGTCAGAATTCCCATGGGCTTGTCGCTGTTAGCCGATTCCGCCGATGCTGACGCGAGGGCTTGGTTTCCCATTGGGTGTGTGAACAGCGCTAGATCCGCTGTGGAGCGGGTGCTTGGGGCCTGGAGTCGCCAGCTGGTGTCGATGGGGTTGCATGTGCACCACCAGAGACCTGCTCTGGCTGCTGGCCAAGCCTCGACATGCTTGGCGGAGCCAGATCCGCGGCAGCGCCCGGCGGTTGGCCGTGGGCAGTCACTGTTGCGGTGCAGGCTGCTATTGTTGTGGGTGGAGGTTGTGGTGGCGGCAGGGGCCTCCGCTATGGACGATGCAGCCCCTGTGCCTAGCGATATGCGGATGGTTTCCAGCTCACGAATCGTGGGCAGCACCATTGGCGGCTGGTCAGAGCCAGCCGGGCGAGCTACAGGATTTTAATAACAAAGAGGGGAATGAGCTTTGCGTCTGAAGTACTGAGCACAAGAATTCAGGCTCAATTGGTCCGGTTCTCCAGGACACCCCACCCGCCGCTATTGGAAGGCCGAGATACTCCTCAGCCCGCAAACAAAAGGCCAACGACTGTACCTTGCAGTCACTGGCCAGCTCATGCGGGCCTTGTTTGAACCTGGTCCGCACACAAGGTTCAGGTCCATTTGTGTTGCTGCGGGATGTGTATGAAGAATGCGCGGGCGAAAATGTACTTCGAAAAATAAAAAGCAGTAAAAGTGCTGAAAAATATTGGCTGGAAGGGCAAAAGACGGAACGAGAAAGAAGGAGCAAAAAAAGGAAAAGCGAGTGCACCTCATCGAGATTTTCCAGATCGTAATAGCCGATGTGAGATTGCACTGGTACACAGAGATTGACCTCTGCCCGCACCAATAGCACGAGCGCTGCCTGCTATTTCGCGCCTGCTACTTCGCGCCTGCTGCACTGGCGCATATTGAACCACCATAGCCACTCTGCAATATGCCTTTTCGGTGCTCTCCCTGGTGGAGCAACCCGACATGACGTCGAGAGCTGGCCAACAAGAGGCCAGGCAATTCTGCCAATATATATTTCCCACTTGCTATTCGCATTGCTCTTGAACGGGGCATTGTCAGCCTGTGTGTCGTATATCACCAATGAATCGGCCACCTTGTCCTCGACAACAACATCCATGTGCTGACCTTCCCAAGCCTCCAGCCCTCCTCGGCGCTTCCCATCATCTCCAATTCCTGCTTGGTTGTGCGTCTCCGAGTGCTCTCAAACACCACCTGCAGCGCCTGGCTCGCGTACTTGTCGACGTTCTGCTGGTCGTGGAAGAAGTTCCAGATCTTGAGTGGCACGCTGCCCCAGCCGGTCAGGTTCATGTGCGAGATGTAGGCCGCCGCTGGCAGCTCCGCCATCGGCTCTTGCTTGACATACTCGTCGTATCTGACAAAGACAGGCGCAGGTTCCGGCGGTGACACCGGGGTGGGGGCGATGTCACTAGTGGCGACAATGGCGCCCGCTGTGTCTGTCACCTGCACAGCCTCGCTGCCCTCGCCTTGTACGACAGGTGTAGTATCGATGCGGCGCTCCTCAGCGGCCTGCACTGCCTCCTGCTCCTCGGCCTTGACCTTGACCAGCGGCGGCACAGTGCGGTTGAGCGACCCGACAGCGCCCTCGCTGATGCCATTGACTACCTCCACCCACGTCTCTCGGCCAATGGCCACCACATCCATGATGCCTGGATACGGTTCCGGCTTCCACTTGCCCAGCTCCGGCAGGGCCTCTCCCGGATTCTCGCCGCGCCTATTCCTTGCGTCCCTCTGCTCGTTCTCCTTGGTCCGCTCGTCGATTGTCTCCCGCACATTCTCAGCACGCCCGTCTCGTCGGTCTCCTCCAGATGCTTGCGGCGTCTCTCCTTGATCTCCTCAGCGATCCGCGAATGCACTCCTCCACGCACCACCTTCTCAATGTCATCAACAGTCTCAGTATCGTTCACCAGAGTCAGCTCGTAGTCCAGCGCCCCGGCCACAAAGACCGGCAGAATGTACTCTTCAAAGTGCATCCGCGCCTTGCGTGTGCCCAGCTCGGCCCATGGGTGCTGCAATATAGACGTGCACCTTGCGGGGCGTCTCCAGCGCCCCGATCGGCTCGTTGGCGACGTGCGCGGCCCGGGCGCAGTAGTAGTCCAGGCGCCGCTTGCTCTCCTTCTTGTTGTACTGGTGGAAGCCAACGAGCCAAGCACGCCGCCCCAGAACAGCAGCGTGTTGCGCGACGGCACCTTTTTCTTGACGCTGGCGATGAATGCGCTCATTATAAACCCCGGGCTTGCTGAAAATGTAATTCTGGAACCAAGCTGCTTGCAAAAGCTGCGCCTGAATTTTTTTAGCGAGAAAAGATAAACCAGGCTGATCGTGGTATATTTGCCAAGAAAACATGCTTGATCTGAATTCCAGCGGATCAGCAGCCTACTTCTTGGACTTTGTCTTGTTCGCCTTCTCTTTGCGCTTCTTGACTGCCTTGGGCATCTTGGTCTTGCGCTTCTCGCGCTTCGCCTCCTTGGCCGCCTGCTTGCGCTCACGCTTGGCGTCCTTGTCCTCATGCTTTTTTGCCCTTTAGGTGCGGCTCGCCATCAGACTCGCTGTCGTCGCCGTCGTCGTCATCATCGTCATTATCATCATCATCGTCGTGGTCACCATCGCCGTCCTTTTGCCCCTCGCCATCATCCGCTTTTTGGCCTGTCATTTCCTTCTGCGCAGGAGCATCCTCAACAGCACCATTCGCCACATCGTCGGCTGTGGCCGTGCCAGGTGCCTCTTCCATTTCGGGCTGCGTCTCGGTGTTGGTCGACGACAGATTCAGGCCAACGAGCTTGGAATAGATCAGATCCTCCTGTCCGCCGGCATTGATCTTGTGCACATCACGCACATAGTCCACAACCTCCTCCAGCGTGCGCGGGATATACGACTGCCTAAACACCTCGTCGTCGGCTCTGAGCTTGGCCAGCTCCTCATCGGGGATCTCGGCCATCTCGCTCTGGATCCGATCTAGCTCTGCATCAATCTCCTCGTTTGTGTTGCCGATAGCCTGGTCAGTAATGAACTCAAACAGCCGGCGCAGCGACATGGTACGCACATTGCCGCGCTTGCGGAAGAACTCGGTCACGTTGTTGCAGTCGTGCCGCAAAAAGTCCAGAGCGTACGGATGGTCGTGCTCGACGGACTGCGAGACATCAATGATATAGAGCTGCTTTGCGTGGTACAGGATGTTGTACTCGCTCAGATCGGCATGCACGAGCTTGCACACATGGTACATGATGCGCATGTCGCGCACCAGCTGCAGGTAGAGCATCGGGAACCGCGACTGCGGGATCTTGGCGTCCTTGAGGCGCGGGTACGCCCAGCCCTCAGCTGAGCCCAAAAAGTCCATAACCAGCACGTGCTGCCGGAGCACGATCGGGTTCGGCGACGGGATCCCGGCGTTGTGCAGCCGCTTCAGATTGCGCATCTCCTTCTCTGCCCACACCTTGACCATCTTGCGCGGGTTGTGTCTCGAATAGCCGTGCCGGAACCGGTACTCGCCCGACACATAGCGGTCGCGGTCCTTGAAGATCAGAATCGACGTCTTGTAGATTTTGATTGCACGGTGCTCGCCCGACTCGGTCACCCGCGTGGTACACGTTGGCCTCCTTTCCCGTGCTGATGCACCCGTTGATCTCGTAGATCACGCCCTGGTTCAGGAGCTTGAACAGAATGATGCGTGTGCGCGGGTCCAGCACCTGCTCCGTCGTCGCCCGGTCTGCCTTGTCCTTGTGCGGCGTGTTGGCCGCCCCCTGGCCCTTGCGGCTCCCTGAATTCGCGTCTTTGCCCATCGTGAATTCGTCCAGGTGGATGCGGCTCGAGTACTTGCTCAGATCCACGCTCTTCAGGTTCACGTTGCCGCTGATACTCGGCTTGGCCGCCTTGCCGGCGTCCTGCGCGGCCGTCGCGGCTGCCTTGGCTGGCACAGTGTGTTTTGGCTGTGACCGCTGCTGGACCACCTGCTGCCGCATCTTGTTGTACTGCTTGGTGAAGTCGCCGCCGTTCTCGCCCCAGTTCTCTGTGTACCCGAGAAGGTCGTCGGCGGCGATCTGCGCGTCGTAGTCGGACTCGCTCGAGAACTCGTCGTAGTACTCCTCCTCGTTGAACTGGTCCGCCTGGCTCTCAATAGTCGACATGCTTGGCCAAGAATGGAAAATAGTGTTTGGTGGTTTTGCGATACTGGAGGCAGAAGAACCGAACCCCCCGCGGCCATGCCTGAGCCTTGCCGAGAATAAAAAACAGAAAAAAAGCTGGGAACCAGCCGGTTTAATAAATTTTTGTGGCTAATTTCGATTGTAATCAGAAGATCTACGATTCCGCAGGAAACGACAGCCTGAAGCCGTGGACCGTGCCGCGGACCCGCTCGTCTCCCGGATCCTCCTCGAACATCGGGCCCACGTACTCCTCGACCACACGCTCGGCCTTCAGCCCCAGCTCGCTTTCGGCCCGCTCAATGAACTCCATGTCCTTGGCAGCCAGCCACGGGCGGTGGTGCGTGAAGAACACATACGCCTCGCCGCCCCTGGATGTTGCGCTGGGCTTGGTAATCAGCTGCCGGCACGAGTTGAGCAGATGCGTGTGCTCCGAGTGGTTGAACACCAGGTCGGACAGAATCAGCACGTCAAACGTCTTGTGCTCGTTGCCCGACAGCCCGGCAATCTTCTCGATCTCGCTGCCCCATTTGAAGCCCTCGACCACCACGGCCCCGCTGGCCAATTCCGCCGGGAAGTTATCCTCCACGTTCTGCCGGATGTTCTCGACCAGGTCGGCGTCCGGGTAGTCGGTGATCACCACCTTTTGCGCGCCATCGCACACGGCCACCAGCGACGGCAGTGCGCCGGCCGCGCCAAACTCGACGACCGACTTGCCACGCACGATCTCTTTGCGTGCGTCCAGGTAGTTGGCAAACAGCTTGGCAGCATTCCACAGGTAGTGGCCCCAGAGCGGGTGGGAGCCGAGCAGGTTCACGCGCAGAACAGAGGGCGTGCCGGGCTCGACCAGATCGGATTGCCGGGCGAACTCTTCGCGCTTGGGCTCAGGCTTGGGCGGGAAGTAGCCCTCGGGCTCCTGGAACATGTCGTTGTCGCCGAATCCCTCAAAGTCGCTGCCGTCTGACATTATGGCTGATAGGAGATATGTGCTGTATGGAGAAGGGATATGTGGCCGATGTGAAGCGCAACACGGTGGACGCCCCCGAACACACGCCAAAGCAGCACCCAGACCACCAATACCGAGCCCCAGTTTATGGAGAAAATTGCGGTTGAGCTAGCGTCGAAAAATCACATTGCGAGCTAAATGATGTAAAAGGCGACTCTACTCGTCGACGAAGAGGAAGGAAAGCATACAGC